AAGCTTGCCACTCAGTAGGTATTCATCCAAACATGCTCAAACTCGGTAATAGTTCTAATATTCATATGATCTTTTCTGTAATGGTCATCATTTCTCAGTTAGATTAATATTTTCACTAGGCCTCAGTCCCTTCCTCAACTCCGGAAAGGCTAATCGCTATTAAATAGCAGACATTAGAAATTACACTTTATTGGCTTCAAACGATTGTTTCAAGTCGAGGCATTAAGATCGAGATGGTCATCTTTTAGAACCGGATTATATTCTTTTAAACCGTCGTTTGGGCAGACATATGGGCTCATACTTTTGCATTATCACAGGTAGCCCAAGCTTGGATTCTGTGGTGTCCTGTATCTCCATGCATTTAACATTTCCTTATAACAGGACACCACAGAAACCAAGCTTGGGCTACCTGTGGCATTATTCAAACCATTAGTTAATTCACGCCCATAAAATTTAATAAGTTACTCCCTTTTCTTAATTGCTCATATTTTATCGTCTGGAGCCCGTTGAAAAACAAAATTAAAAAGTCATCAAGCCGGCGAATAATCACACAAAGAAACCTCAGTATATTACGTCTAAATGCTAGAAGAATTCTATCCTTGAGCATCCATGAAATCTAATTGTAAAAGAAAAATACTATAACAATGAAAACTGGAATGATAAAATGGGATGACAACAGGGAGGAACTGACTGAAAGCCGTATTCAGAGTAAGCCTCTAAACTTAATAGATTCAGAAAGAACTTTTTTACGTTCACATGAATACACCATAAAGGTTAGGTATAGTAAAGACTATAAAAAAAAGTAAAGGAAAAAAAGAGCCGAGTGATCGAGAGAGAGAGAAGATCAGTTGATTGGTTTCCGTCTGCCACAAGAAACTCTTGACAATAAATTAGTATAAGCCGTCCAATCATTTTCCAACGAATCACAATTGAGTCTAAGTCAGATGGGGAGGAATGATAGATAATAGCAGTCTGCACTAAAAAGCTATCATTTTCTCTTGTTTGGCTAGAGAAGACAAGCTAGAGTATTAGTACTGAACCACTGCTCAAACCAGGTATTTATATTTCTCTTTTATGAAACTTTTAACTTTCCTAAAGCTTTTAAAGCCACGTAATTTTCAAAGTTTTTGTATGAACTCAAATATCTAAAATAAGCCAATTATATTAGTCTGGTTGGTATTGGTTTACTCCGATGAAGGACTAACATCCGAAACGTCAGTTTCATTTTCACATACGGTGTTACAAATTATCTATCTATCAACTGTTTTACTGAAAACACCGACGCAGTTTACACTAGTTTTCACTAGTTTTCCACCCAATTATATTAGATCTACCAGAGTATCCGGCAGTTCGTTTGTCGCAAGTAGTGGCGTGGCTTTGTAAAAGTTTTTTCCAATAATATTTGATTTTCAGGGCCAGTGAAAACCATTTTATGTGGTATAGTTTTCGCAATACCAAGGGCAAATTCTAATAGCTTTACGATAGAAAAATAGGTGTAAATTAGAGCCAGCGAAAGGATTCGATTTTTAGTAGAGAAAAGTAAGGTTGATGGCTGATTGAATTGAATAGCTTCCAGCGTGCTCATCAAGGGCGGATCCAGGGGGGGGGGGGGGCAAAGGGGGGCTTTCAAAAAAAACCAATGCCTTTTTATATTGTTTTCCGTTGTGTTGATGGAAGAAACTCAATTAGCCCSCCYCCCCCCTWWAMYYCAATTAGTCCCCCTAAACTTTTGGCTGGATCCGCCCTTGCTCATATCACAGTACAGATTCATGCGAGCGCATATAAACACGCACTTAGAGAAACATATTCCAAATAGAAATATTAACACAAGAAATAAAACTGGTAATACTGCGATAACCCCCTCTATTCTTCTTGGTCAATCCTCCCCCCGTATAATTACTTGGTCGGTAGGCTTCGAATATTAAGGACCGGGAGGCTTCGAAAGAGATTGTCTTCTTCAAAAACAAGAGAAAGTGATAGCTTTGTAGTCGGACTGCTATTACCTATCATTCCTTCACATCTGAATTTGATAATTGTAATTGGTTAGAAAGTGATTAGACAAGGCAAGGGCGGATCCAAAGGGGGGGGGGGGGCAAAGGGGCCCCCCTTCAGCAGAAAAAAAACCCCATGCTTTTCTATATTGTTTTCCGTTGTGTTGATGGAAGAAACTCAATTAGCCCGCCTCCCCCCTAAACTCAATCAGCCCCCCCCCCCTTCACTAAAATTTTGGCTGAATCCGCCCTTTTAAGTAGAAGAAAAAGAGCTTCAGAAAAGTGGCAAGTGTAGTGCAAACAGTTTGCTGACTATCAAAGACCAAATCGAGAAATGACAGTGAAATTGAAATGAACTGAAAAWTTTATGTTTCAATTGATCAATAGTTTTGTAATGTTTCGGTCGTTTGATAAATCTTTTTGCTTTAATCCTTTCCTTCAAACTCCCTGCAGCCTAAAACATGCAAAACGCGATAATTTTTTCCCCATGGAATGTGATATTCATGTGATATATTTCATTCCGCTTACTGAAGCAGGACTCCGCGGTTTAGTATTAGCGATATATTGAACAAATATATATCTTTTGCTTTATATTTTTATTCTTGAAAATGATTGTGTTGCATGTAGTTAGTGCTGAAAGCGAGCTCAAGACAAAAAATATGCTTCTTAATCATTTGCCTTAAGGCCTCGTGGTGTGCGAGTAAAAGCAATTATTGACCATCCAACAATTTCAACAAACAAAACCCTATTCCAATGGGGGAAAATATCACTCTTTCAAATAACAAAACATTACAAAAAGATTAGTAGAAACATAAATTCGTCATTTCAATTTCACTGTCCCTTCTTGACTTGGCCCTCGCCGCTAGTCAGCAAGTTGTTTACACGTTCGAGTTTATCCATGCTACTTTACTGAACATTTCTTTATGCGCTTCACGAGCCACTAGCTTCTCTGTATCCCTTTCTCTTTTTGCTTCTCGGTTCCGCCTGTCATTGAATAAAGTATCTTTTAGCTTCGATTTTGACTAGCTTGCGAATTAAACGTATTCACGCCTGAACCTTGTATCCAAGTGTACGAGTTTGTGTCATTAACATGTAATTTTTAATCTCAAGCACACTTGCATATAAACGTTGGTTATGTGAAATCGTTTTGATCGGAAAGTGAAGAAAAAAAAAACTTTAGTAAACTCAAAGGGAAAGAGAACTTCAAGGGGCTAATTGAGTTTCTTCCGCCAACACAACGGAAAACAATATAAAAAAGAACCGTTTTTTTTTCTGCTGAAGGGGGGGGCTTCAGCCCCCCTTTGCCCTCCCCTCCCCCCCCCCCTGGATCCGCCCTTGCACTTAACCATGAGCACGTGGAGCAACATTTATAATACATGTCGATAATTATTGATTTAATGAAAAATTTAATTTGGAAATTTAAAAAAAAAAAATTAATTAATAAAATCGAAGACCCTGAGATGCGAAGAGAGGCTGGTGAAATGCAATGATGGACCCGATTTGGAATAAATCAAATATCGCTGCTTTCTATGATTACAGACCCATTTATACAGGGTAATGTACAAATATTCACAAATGCCAAAAGGAAAGTAAAAATTGTTTTGAAAATTACCAAAAAGACGAGTTAGGGTATCGTTCTTCCTCCAACTAAAATAGTATCATTCGTTGTATTGAAGTCAGCTTCTGAAAACCATTTGAACTGAAAACTAAGTCTGTTAGTTACCTCGCAAGTCGGCATTAAGCTCTCGGGCGGTACTAGTGATAGCTTGATTCAGCGGTTCCGTTCTTGATGGCTGGCTGCAAGCTTGAGTAATGGTTAAGGCTGATTCGATTCCCTCTCCGGATGCCACATGTACTGAATAAATCAGTTTGCTTCCTGCGTTGTTCTCTCCCTTGCCACGAGGTTTTTTCTCAAGGTTCTTCATTTTTCTCTTTTTTCTTTGCAAAAATGAACATGTGAGTTGAGAGTTGCAACGCGCTGAATACGTAGTAGTAGCGAGTGTTCTAGCAAAACCCGACAAAGACTTCTTGTATCACTATCGACATAAAATAAGAATTTAGTTTGATTTTTTTAATGCTTAAAGAATGATAAATGTTCTGTGAATGCATATTTTCCTGAACTAATCATGCCGTGCGAATGAAGAACATGCGAATRAAGGGACCTTAAAAGAAACCTTATCGGTAAGTTCAACGGGAAATAGACTGAACCAAGAGTACGTGGCACGACACTTTAATACATTTTGATAATCATATTGGTAAATAAATCTCTAGTGACTTTGAGAGCGGGAGCGGAGCCTTACCTACGGAATGGACCTAACTTAGTGAGGAGGCGAAATGCTTTTCTTTATTTTTGTCTGGAAGCTATTGATCTACTTTTGTCTTTCAGTGCGACGTTAATTTTGTAAACTTTAACAATCGTGGCTTTTATCAATCATGTCGATAATTATTCATTTACATTAAAACTTTAACTCTAAACAGTCAATCCGAATAACCCATCTAATCACGAAGGATCGTTGTGACCTTCATATCGTTTTTTCTTTATATCGTTTTTTACCCTTCGTATTGTTTTTTACCGTTCATATCGTTTTTTACCGTTCATGTATCATTGTGGCCTTCCGATCGTTGTGACCTTCATATTGTTGTGACCTTCATATCGTTGTGGCCTTCCGATCGTTGTGACCTTCATATTGTTGTGACCTTCATATCGTTGTG